AATAAAATTNTGATCACGAACGCTGGAGACGGGCGGACGAACGATGCGGCAGCGCGGACCGGACGCTTTCTCTCCAGCTGATGCAGACCGGGCGGACGGTACAGTGATGGACGAACGCTGTTCCTCACTCCAAGCCGGGCGGTCGTCCTCGTACTCCAAGCGCAGCTCCATACTCCAAGCCGGACGGTCGGGTACCTGTCAAAGGCACTCCGACGCTCAAGTCAGTAATATGACAGAGCGTTATTTTATGCATGTATGTGTTGCGTTCTAAGCAATCTGTCCAGAAATCATACCTGAGACCTTTATTTATACTGATTGTGATGGGCTTTTACCTTTTTGGGGGCCCGGAAACTGTCCAATAATACATTAATCTTTATTAAGGGCTTTTAATGTGTCATTAGTATTTAACTGTGTGGTTAACCGGTCATAATGATGGTCAGCCAGGATGGACGGTCTGATTGGTATTCGGCCAGTGACGTCCGGTCAAAGTGATGGTCGGCCAGGATGGGAACCAGTAGGATGGCAACGTTCGGCCATACTGAACGCTCGGCCTTGGTACTCGACACGGGCGGACGTCCCATCTTTGGGAGGACGTTCGGTTTCCTGAATGCCATCTTGGGCGGGCGCCCCATTTTGAATGGCTGGACGCTCGTCCTGATTACCATCTTGGGCGGACGTCCCATCTTGAATGACTGGACGCTCGTCTTGATTACCATCTTGGGCGAACGTCCCATCTTGCATGGCTGGACGCTCGTCCTGATTGCCATTTTGATGGGCGGCAGTGTTAACCGCTCGCTCAGTCTATGCTGGAAGGACCTGTCAGTACCGTAATTCTAGGATTATGAAATAAATATAAACGAGGAATAGAATTTATGATATTGCTATCGATATAAAGACAATGATGGTTGATTCTTTTGATAAAAAAAATCCATTAAAAGCACAAGAAACAGGATTGGTCAATTTTTAAAATAAAATTATTGAACACTTTACCTAGATGTATTATTTAACATTCGTTAAATCAATAAAATAATTTTTTTACATAATTGCGAACAAATGAACAATGAAAAATTATCATCAAAATATGTTTTTGGTGGATTACACATTCTTTCATTTCGTTATATGAAAATTTTAACCACAAATAAAATCAAACACATAAAAAATAAAACCACACATTAAAGTCCAAACACAGAAACTTAAGAGTAATTATACATTTTACAGAGAAAATATTTTTAAATCAAAATTAATATAATCATTTTTTTATTTATATGGACGAAACCAATGTACTGTAACCTAACTATTTTTTCTTAATTTTTAATGATTAAACTGCTCGTTTGAAATAATTGATACGATTAATAAACAAAACAAAATATGATACTAGTTTATATAAAAATCAAATAAAAGAAGTAAGATTTCGTCTGTCTCAGAACAAGCCTCCTACCATCTATTTTAGGGTTATGAATAAGTGTGATATTTTTGAAGTAATTATTATTTTATACAAAATTACTCTGTGCTTTTTTGTCTTAAACTTTTATCTCAATCCACCGACCAAATTCGAAGTTATTTAAAATATAAAACATTAAGCTATTTTATGATCAAATAATTTTTAGTCCTATTTATCGAAACCAATTCCATTATTGAAAAATAAGCATATGATTAATAAGCTCAAATACATATCAAAAGTGTGTAAAAATTGTATTTATCATTATACATACACACAACTGCAGCTCAGTCTAATTTTACCGCTTTATATTCTTATTAGGAATTAAACAATGGGTTGGCATGTAACTGTATTGAGAACTTTTTGTTACTAATACGAAATTTTTAGAAATTAAAGGTTGAATAATAGATTGAGACATGCTTAATATTTCAATTTCTTTATTTAATATTTTTAGTTTTTTTAGGATTACTTATGACTATATGCGAATAATCTTTGTTTTTCTATGTTTGCTGCGTAACATAACCCATACCGATTGTTTATAATTAATATTTCTTGTTTGGTGTTATATTATATTCTTATAGTTCGATCCTTCTCTTATTAATTTATACATACTGTTCTCCAAATATTTTATAAGTAGTTTTAATATAAATATAATCAGACAATATTGATGTGGAGACTAAAAAATTGTATTATAATTAGTTAATTTCAAGTTTTATACGGAGAGTCTAACAGGTGATTATTGGTCAAGAATGTTTCATATGACCCGTGAATTGCTTCTTTATGCATTGACATGTGTTTGGGAATTTGATATCCAACATCATTTGTTTGATGTTCAATGAATAATGAATATTCAGTTTTGCATCCACTGGCTATTGTATTTTGTTTCTTTGTCTACATACATTGTCCACTCAACAATCTCTACACTGGAATGACACGTGTGATTTCAATTCGAATTACTCTCTTGCAAACTTGATATTTATTTTTTAATAAAATTGAGTAAACTTTTGTACGATAGTATTGAATACATTTTTTGTATTTTCCAGACATGAAATTTTATCTATTTTAATACTATTTTAAACAGGACAGAAAATTCGTAGAAAAATGCTTCGCCTACTGAGGGTTACATAGCTATCAATCTAGATGGTTGTTTTACATAGTGACAAAATAATAGATAATTTGCAAGCTTTTGTCGGATAATTTTTCAAACGCATGCATTGAAACGGGGGACATAATCTGTGAGCTGTACAGAGTAAGATGCAAGTAAACAAATTTTTCTGATAAAAAAAAGTAAACGAACTCTATAATGTGACAAAATACGCAAACATTATATGGAAAAGTTATAGGATTTCCAATTGGGACAAATGAATTTGCGGCTCATTATTTAGATAAGGTGGATTCACTGTTTTTCACTAAGAAGTAGAAAAAAATGCTTAAAATGTCTTCATAATATCCATATTGTTTATAACATTGTATGCACATGCACTTATATTATAGATTAGGGTCCGCAATACTATCGTTTTTACTAGCACCATCTTGTATCGTTCTATTTTTATTCGATGAATCATTTCCATCTTCATATAATTGCGAATTTGCGAGGCTTACAAGCTAACTTTTATAATATGCATTATCTTTGTAATTCAAACCTACCAACCTTGAAAATTCATTTATTTTAATGTCTCTTTTAGCCTCCACACATGTCACATACATGCCAATGTGCTTTATGAGACATCCATGTTTTTTCACGTTGGAAAAGTTGGAAAAGTTGTTATTATCCCAAGTTTAAGCGCAACATTTTTTTGTTCATATTTCGTTTACATGCGCTCAGGAAGAAGAATACAGAAATTTCCTCACATGAATTACAAAAAGGACAAAACCAAACTTATTCACGCATTTTCTAATTTCTCTTTTTGAGATTCGTTTTTGTCAGTAACGAATTAATGCATAATCTCCATATAGTGAAAAATCACATCATTTTCACGAACTCATAATAATGTGTTCCAAGCTTGCCTGTAAGAAGTTCTGTGTATGTTATTCTTATATTGGATTTCTCGCTACTATGTGCAACCCAAATCCAAGTATAACCTTTTTGCATTATATGTATGTCAATATAATTCCAATGTTACCGTTGATCTTCTTGCTAGTATTTGAAACCATAAGAAAAGCTAAAAAAGCATGTGACAAACATTATACCATTTGTGTAACCAAAACTCTCATCTTTTCGTTGAATTTCCAATCTGCCATTTCACTCTCTTACAAAACTATCCTCCTCATTTTTCTTCCATTTTCAAGTACATTTGAAAATCTCATAAGAATTTCTTCCTCAAAAAATTGTAAATTTTTGTCATGTAACAAATTAAATAATGAATAAGGCGTGAGATAAATATAGGGTTTTCATTTAAATATAAAAATATTTTTTATACATTTCTGTCTAAATTTTTGGAGAGGTTTTTAATTTTTTTTATTGAGTAAGTCCCTTTTGGATTACGACTAACAACCGAATTAAAGAAATATAGCATTAAGATAATAACTGCGGAAAGTGTAACTGCTTTATGAGCTGTGATCAATCCACTTATAGAAAAAATAAGGTTAAATAAGTTTTGGTAAATATAAAACGAACCAATAATAAAATTCATACTTTATATTTATTTTCATTATTTTTAATATTTAATAAATACATAGATTTAACATTGATAACTATTTTATCACTTTTAAATTAACAATATTAATATATTAATTTTTTATCGATAATTCAGTATCACGGATTAGTATACGTACATCTATATCTACAAATATTTAAACAAAATAATTATATGACAGTAGTATTAATTTGAGAACAGTAAAACTATTTGGAAAATAATAAAATTGTTGTTACATATATTTGTCAAAGATTAAATATAAAAAATTGAAATTAGAAATGTAGTACAGAAGTATTATTTAAGTCTAGAAAATGTTTTGGCGGGAATGTAACACTTTAGGACTCTTTCTTTTTCACTAACTGGAGTTGACCACTACGCATACATCACCTTCTGTCGTACCACTACTGTAGCCAAATGTTGGGTTACCCACTTCTTCTTCCAAGAACCAGCTGTTCTTCACCAACATCATATGTCGCCTTCCTTCTCACAACCATATCCTACAAATATATATTTAATTATGTCATTTTAATCTTCTAAAAGTACTGAAATATATTATTCGTCTAAAATTAATAACAACGTGTTGGATGAAATTAAATAGGATTGGTGCATATGTTAAAAGAAGAAAATACTATAATTGAAATAAAATTAAGAGTTTTTTTTTATAAAAAAAAAAGTGGTTTTGGTGTGGAGAAGTATCCGGAACAGTGAGAAGTATGGAGCGTGGTAATAAAGAAGGGGCGTAAAGAGAGATGATAGGACATAAATGAAATTATAAAATCATCTGAGCAAGACACACCTTCCAACTTTAAATATCTCACCCCAAATTTAATTGGGTGGGATCACAACATAACATAACGTAAGATGCAGAGATACATACACGCAGATAGATCTAAATTTCCCAGATAGAATTACCACATCCACCCCATTCAACCCATCAAAACGCGTCTTCTTTTCGCCTTTATTTCTTCCCTTCCTCCCCCCTATATATACACCATTACAACCTGCGATGCCATACTCTCCTTCGACAAACACTAACATCATCATGACTCCGACCCTCTTCTTCCTCTTCATCTTCTTCTTTCCTCTTCTCTCCTCTGCACACAACTCCTTGCACCTCAACCACACCTCATTCTCACTCTCTTTCCCTCTCACTTCACTCCCTCTCTCCACCAACACCGCCTCCAAGATGCTACGCGACTCTCTCATTGTCTACTCAAACCGCACCAGAAATACCACGCGACTCGCTTCGCCTTCTTCTCCGTATAACTACAGGCTAACCTTCAATTACTCCATGGCTTTGATCGTCAACCTTCCCATTGGGACCCCACCGCAGGTTCAGCCTATGGTGTTGGACACCGGAAGTCAACTATCGTGGATTCAGTGTCACAGAAAACCACCCAAGGTGCCTCCCCCAACGGTGTCCTTTGATCCTTCTCGCTCCTCCACTTTCTCTAATCTTCCCTGTACTCACCCCGTTTGCAAACCACGAATTCCCGATTTTACCCTCCCCACTTCCTGCGACCAGAACCGCCTCTGTCACTACTCCTACTTCTACGCCGACGGTACCTACGCCGAGGGAAATCTCGTCAGAGAAAAATTCACTTTCTCTCGTTCCCTTTTTACCCCTCCTTTGATCCTCGGCTGCGCCACTGAGTCCACCGACCCCAGGGGTATTTTGGGAATGAATCGTGGACGCCTCTCCTTCGCTTCACAATCTAAAATTACCAAATTCTCCTACTGCGTTCCCACCCGAGAAACCCGGCCTGGATCCACTCCAACCGGGTCGTTCTACCTGGGCCACAATCCGAACTCTCTCCGGTTTCGGTTTATCCCAATGTTGACTTTTTCTCAGAGTCAACGTATGCCAAATCTTGATCCCTTGGCTTATACTGTCGCCTTGCAGGGGATCAGAATCGGGGGCAGAAAACTGAACATTTCGCCGGCGGTTTTTCACGCCGACGCTGGCGGGTCGGGTCAAACCATGGTTGACTCCGGATCCGAGTTTACTTATCTCGTTAATGAGGCTTATGATAAGGTGCGGGCGGAAGTAGTGAGGACTGTGGGGTCCAGAATGAAGAAGGATTACGTGTACGGTGGCATTGCGGACATGTGCTTCGACGGGAATGCGATTGAGATCGGACGGCTGATAGGGGACATGGTGTTTGAGTTCGAGAAGGGCGTGGAAATAGCGATTCCCAAGGAGAGGGTTCTGGCTTCCGTGGAGGGCGGGGTCCACTGCGTCGGGATTGGCAACTCTGATAAATTGGGTGCGGCCAGTAACATCATCGGGAATTTCCATCAGCAGAATCTGTGGGTGGAGTTTGATCTCGCCAATCGCAGAGTGGGTTTCGGTGCGGCAGATTGTAGCAGATTGGCTCCATAGAGGGAAACCCTTAGATACGTGTTGGTGCATGTACCTTACGTGTGTCAGCTGTAGGTAATTAGGGATTTTTGTACGAAGGAAATATCACGTGTCACGTGTCGAGGAGTGTGATACCGGTGAGATGATGATGATGATGATGAAGAAACTAATCACACGGTCCAAGAGCGATGAAGAAAAAGAAAGTTCTGCAACTGTTGCCATGATGATACGATAACGTGGTTCGTTCAAGATCGACGAGTGGGGCTGCTTTTGGAGTATGTGTGAGGAAGCCACATAAGTATGTTGTACACTGTAATATGAAGGAGACCATGACACAATGTATATATACGAGGATTAATTAGAGTATGTCTATTATATATTTAATATTAATATATATGAACCATTGGTTTGTTTTTTTAATATAATATGATATATAGTATAATGTGATGTCCTCTCCTTGAACCTGTTAGACGTTCGTTGCTTACGTGCATACACAAAATTACTATAAATACGAAATCGCTTTCGACAACCCTGGAACGCGTTTGGCAAAGGTGGAGCTAGAATAAGGTTTGGTAATTGCAATGCAAGCGAATTATTAAAGTACTTTAAAAGAAGTTAATGTTGCGGTGAAAGAAAGTGAGTGTGTGTATTATTGGTGATCGATGAAAGGTAGTATTTATTTGATTGAATTATCAGATCCATCATAAGAATTGGTTTTTGTTTAAGGGAGTAAGTTGGCAGGACCATATGGAAGTTATAGAGTGGCGGTCTTAAGGTTTGAATATGACAGCTGGTAGCATGCATCACACAATGTTGCAACTTGCAATTGCTTTCTCATGTCCAAAAGTTGTCTCTCTATTTGGAAAAGTAGCATGGGATGGATTCACAAGAAACCTTACCATTCATGCAATATCTTTAATTACTACTCTTAAATCCCCATTGCCTTATAATATCACTAGTTTTCTCAACTTTCACATATATTTTCATTAACAACCGTCATATATTTCTCACAACATTTTTTATTATTACTTTAAATTTATTACAATTTAATATAATGTTTGTATAATAAGGAGTTTAACACAATTTTATAATCTGTAACAAGTTTAATCTAATAATAATACAGAGGTAGCCAATGAAAAACTCCTTTATGAGGAAATTGTTAAAACCATCCTCTCCAATGATTATAAATTATAAATGTAACTATCTAAACTTTGCTGCCACTTTTCTTATTGTTCTAGCCGAAAGATGAAAAGGACCGCGATCAGTTAGAACAAAATACTCTTCCTATTCTTGATCTTTCTTTACAAAAAATTAAGAATAGCCATTAGTATGTCATTCATTAGAACAATTTTATTAAGATTTTATAACTTTCATAATAATTTATTACTTTTATTTACTATAAACACAAAGATTGGTATAATTTTCAATGACAATCAATAATATGGATATGCATAGCATTTCTATGGCCTACATGTGTGTGTATATATATATATTAATGCTATAATATAATATGTAAACTTCTAATAACTTTTTTAGGTATGTTTTTCATAGTTTATTTTAGACAAATAAACTTTAAAGAAACTTTCTTTTTTTCCCCTTTGTTAAAAGAGGTGTAATTTGTAGGTTATATGTTTTTTTTTTTCAATTTAATTGATTTTATTGATTCTCTTTGTCTCTTTGGCACATGCTTGTCTCTCTCACTCCATCTTTATTCATCAATCTCACGTTGCTAACACTGGCTAATTTGTGAGCAAAGCCAAAGTTGTTTTGTTTTCTTTTTTTCATTTTTGGATGAATCTTCAAAAAGAGGGAATGAACTGGCAATGGCAACCATTACCCAACTAAAGGAAAAAAGTACATAATTTAGGTCATGGCCGATTAAGATGATTTCTCTCTCTTTCCAAAATGCCGACTGTAAAATGGCGAGAGACATGTAGGTGTGAGAAAAAAAAAAGTAAAAATATAGGAGGCAAAATCTTAGAAACATATTTTATGTTTATAATTTGAGCCCTAAAACATTGACTAATGGTGTCATTAACGAAGTTATCTGATAGAAGAAAAGAACGGCCATGCCACCACAAAAAGTGGTTTTAGCAACAGGAAAATAGTAGTTTAAAATAAGATTTGCCAAAAAGGTAAAAGGGTATTGGTTTGTTGAGAAGAGGACAAAGGCATTAGTAGTAGAAGGAAGAAAGTGAAGGAACAAGATTTTACGATTACGAAGAAGAAACGAAGTGGGATGGGACATGAACAACTACTTTCGAACAGTTCGCCGCCCGAGACACTTCTAATTCCCGACAATATCTTTCGTATGATTAAAGTCCTAAACAAAATAATGTTACAGCCTTGTGGGAATAAAGTGAACCTCATTTTAATCAAATTAAGCAAATACATTAATAAATTCATTTTGCATCAATCTTACACAACGCCAAATAATGTCTCAGTATGATGTTGTGCAAATATCTCTAATATCGTTAACTCTTGAGTTTCCACACGTTTTGAATTAAAGCCAAAACATTAACTCCTTATGAAGTCAACTTTTCTCTGTATTTATTTTCTAGAACCAAACAAATAGGTTATCATTCATTTCCTTTCTTGCTACTGCTTTCTTAGGCTTTAACTGTTCTTAAAGTAATATTTATGCACAGCCTGTAATTTTTAATTAATAATAGCAAAAATAAATTAAAATATGATTTATAAAGGAAATACAGTAATGCTATTCACACCACACGCATAAAAATCTCTCCACACATGCCCCACAAAATATAGAATGATCAATGGTTACCCTATTCCAATCCCCACCTAACTTGTTTCATAGGTGTACGTTCGATTAGGTTTTGTTTGCCTCTACAACAATTAATCATCCAAAGAAAAGGGTTTCAACTTTTTGTTTCCAGCAGACTGATAAACCAATCTACTTTCTATTGCAATTATAATTTTTGTAATTATGTTTCAAGAACTCGTTTACTTGGTTTGTTGGGAGTATATTAATGCAAAATTAATTGAGATTTATATTAATCTGTCTCACACATGGTTTGCATAAGCATATAACTCATTTTAGCCTACCCATAACTGTAGTATAGTAAAAAATCCAGCTAAATTAATCAATATTTTTACAAGTATTAGTCAGTGTTTTTATTTATTTAAATAGAAGCTAATTTTTTTTTTCTCCAAATCTTATAAAAGTTCAATTAAAATTTTTATTTAGTTCAATTTAATTTTTAATTTTTAAAATTAATCTAATTAAAATGTATACATCAAATCATTTCACATAAAAGAATAAATTAATTTGAATATTTAGGTTTTAAAATAGAATGATTTGATGTATAAATTATAACGAAAAAACTTAAGCTAAATCTTTTTTAAAAAATGATTAAATTAAACTGAATTTTGTATAAGAATAATGTACTAAAATAAGGTTTTAGCCTAAAATATATTTAACCTTTTCTGGAGCGATAAGTTTTTGGTACTATATTGAAACTGAATAGGCTTAATTTGCATGGTACACTAACCTATAAATGAAAGACACTTTACAACTGCCCAGTGTCCCTACTATTTAATGTTTTGATTAAAATATTATCTCTCACAGAGAAATCTGAAGGATCACGTAAATAATAATAACCAATGTGAACAGACATGGCCCGGTTAACAATTTGTCCTTTGGACGTTTCAATTTATTTCAATTTATTGAAATATCTGATAAATGTTTACTTCCTTTATTTATGTTATTATTACATGGGAACATCAATCTAAGTCACGATCTAGGTCTATCTAGGCTTGCTTAACCCTCACATTGGATAGTGAGTGAGACTCTACTACACCCTCCCATTTTCCTCCTACTCATTGTTGCTTTGAAAACTTGGAATAAATAAGGGGAAAACGGGTTAAAATGAAAAATAAAATGGTTTTATTGTATACAAATTGTAAGAAGAAAAGTTTAAAATGGGCAAATTAATATAATTCTTTTATCTTTTGTAATCTTTTCTAATAACTCCTAAAAGAATTTCATAGAAATATTTATTGGGTTGAATAACTAAAACACTTAATTCTACCTTGTTTAGTCAAAGTAGACCGGATTGAATTTTGTTTATAATTGAATAAAATCCAATCCCTTAAGTTAATCCAATCTTTTAGGGATTGAGTACTCAATTTTGTATCTTAAACTCAAGATTCAACCCAATTTGATCAAAATAATAATAATGATATAAATACAATTCAATTTACTATATTATTGTAATAATTAAATGTGTGTTTTTAAAATATTAAACTATACGTAGTGAATGATATAGTGTGTTTAAAAAATATTTTGAAATTACAATTTTAAGAAGAAAAAAATTAAGCTAGTAAGTCAATTGAATCAACCCGAATCAATACAAAAATAGCTAAATTAAGTTCAATAAAAATGATATAGAAATAAAACATGTATCATGTCATTGAATAAATAAAAAATGAAATGAAATTCTCTCACATTATGGAGCTGAATTATGTTAAGTAATTTCATAAGGACAGTTATACGAGGGCTAAACTATGGTATGTAATTTCTCAAGGACAATTATATGAATATATTTCCATTTAGTATATATGTTGAATGTTTATTATTTATTTTTATCTTTTTTATCACATCATATATTTATATAGATTTACTTTTTGTCTTATATGCGTGCGAGACATTGATGAATATTTTGAATTTGCATTAAACATCTTCCAATGCATTCTCTTCATTTATCCCCGTTATCCCTTGCTCCTTCTACGTATATAAATATAATCAAATTTATATTATTTGAGATACATTCTCTTCTCACGAATTTTTATTAAAAACTAAATTTTAAATTTATCTCAATCTACCTAATCAAATAATTTATATACCATAAATTTATTTTATATATACTAAAATATTCAGTATACTTTCCTCATGACAAAATATATACAATTTTAAAAAATATAATAAATATTAATGAATAATTTAATAATAAATAAAATAAAATAGTAAATTCAACCAACAATAAATTCAACTCAAATAATCTTTAAATATGACTTTCACGTTAATAAATTTTAAATTTAAGTCAATCTTATAAAATAGATTTATAAGATGAAACTCACACTTTATAAACAAATTTTTAAGATTAACTTAAATTTAAAGTTGACTTCTTACAATTTTTTTTTTCATTAATAAAACTATTGTATCCTAAATAATTTATAATTTGAAGTATAATTGATAGTTTTATATAAAGTGTATATCAAACTCTGACATGTTACTGGAAAATTAAAAATAAAATAAAAATGCGAGAGCTGTTACTACATTAGGGTGGCTAAAATGCCTTGGTTTTACTCTGTCTAGTTATCTACCTGTTCTCCAGGTGGTTAAAATTTCAAATTAAAATTTAGTATATTTAGTTCATGAGTCAAGTTGAACTAATTAA